GGACCTGTTGGAGCGGGGCCAGAGGAGGCCACAGAGATGGTCCGAGGGCTGGAGCCCCTCTGCTATGAGGCCAGGCTGGGAGAGTTGGGGGTGTTCATCCTGGAGAAGAGAAGGCTGTGGGGAGACCTGACTGCAGCCTTTCAATATATAAAGGGAGCCTACAGGAAAGATGGGGACAGGCTTTTTAACAAGGCCTGTAGTGACAGGACAAGGGGTGATGGCTTTAAACTAAAGGAGGGGAGATTTAGACTGGATATAAGCAAGAAATTTTGTATGATGAGGGTGGTGAAACCCTGGCACAGGTTGCCCAGAGAAGCCGTAGATGACCTGTCGCTGGAAACATTCCAGGTCAGGTTGGACAGGGCTCTGAGCAACCTGATCCAGTTGAAGGTGTCTCTGCTCACGGCAGGGGGTGTTGGACCAGATGTTCCCTTCCCACCCAAACCATTCTGCGGTTGTATGATCTGGTCAGCAGCTGCGCCGTTGTTGCTAAGGTTGTGGCTCGCTTGCTGGGTGTCTTCTCAGTGTCGGTGCGGCTGGTGCTCTGCTGAGAGGGTGCTCGCTGTGCCTGATGTGGTGCTGTGTGTGAAGTTAACAGAAATGCATGCTTGATTTTCATGGCGTCATTTTCATACTGGGTTTTTGGAATGAGAAACACTCTAGCAGTACAAAGCTTATGGATTAAGCCAGAAAAACAGAAGATGCAGAGATAATTAACATAATAAGGTAATACATATTATGGAATAGACTGGAAGGTAAAAGATAAGCACCAAAAGGTACTCCAAGTTGTTTCATTTTATTGAATCCTATGAACTATTTTAAATCAGAGTGAGGAAGAACTGGATACCAGAGAAAAGATTTTGAAGGAATGATTGGGTGGAGAAGACTGAGACTGCTTTCAGCCATGGAGTGATGTGTTATTTGGGACGTAAAGGACATATGCAGCAAACCTTTCTAACACTAAGCAAGTGCCATAGTGGGAAGCTTATCTGTCGTGGTGGCCTCTGCACAGGAGGGCTGGGCTCTAAGGCAGTCCTTGCTTTTCAAAGAACTTATGTGCAGACTGACAAAATGGGGTGTAGAACAAACATTAGGTGCTGGACTGCTTCTCCCAAAAGGCATTGCCTTTCTCCATAGGTGCTGCATTTGACCCATCTAAACTCTTTGTATGTGGACCAAGCTGAGCCTGGCCTGTTCAGCTCTCCCCTGTTAAGCTGGTACAAAGGGCCTGCTCCACAAAAATTGTCCCCGTGTAGGCAGTTCGCTAGAGTAGACTCTAGCTCTGCGCTGTGTGCTTTTCTTTTATGAAAGAATAAGCAACGTCACATTTCTTTAGAGGCTGCAGGGTGAGTTTGAGGGAGGTGATACTTGTGAAGAAACTGATTTACAATAAGCTCTTCCTTTAGGAACTGTAGCTCATGATTCCCTTGTACATTGTTAGGCATTGTGAGAACTTGTGATTGAAAATTACATTTCTGGGTGATAAGGATCCGTTGGTTTGGGATGTGTGGTGTTCTGGTTTGTGGAAGTAGGATGCATAGCAAAAATACTGGGTTTGGGAATGGCTATGGTGGTAGTAAGTGTAAATTTGCTTTCTTTAGAGCAGTGTATTGTTAGGAGTGACTCTATGTCTTTAGCAATCCCGCAGGCTGCCTACACAGCCTAATTCCTTATGCTAGTTATGCTGCTGTTTGCAATAACAAGAAAAAGGCAGGGATCATCTGAACCAGGTGCCTAGGGAAACCAAATCACATGTGTCTGCTTAAAACAGTGCTGGATTTGGCAGTGTTAAGTGAGGGCAACACATACTTGATCTTCGGGACAGGCTTGCTAGATATAATTATTCCTCTCATTATTTTTGAACTGCTTGCCACCTGGGCTTATCTTCACCAATTACTTTGGTTCATACCCACATGCATGCTGCTTGTGCAGGCTCAGTGCCTTCGTTGGAACTCAGGAGGCTTCACAGCTGGATCACATCAATAGAGAGTGTCTCTAGAGGGGAGGGGAGATTCTTAAGATCTGCACCTCTTAGGATCTAGCACAATAATGTGGGATGGTTAGGAGTTCAGGATCTTCCCACTGAATTTTTGAACCTTCTTGTCTTATATTCATGTACATGGTTCAGCTGTCTACTTTTATTTGTACTTAACTAGCTTTCTGCAATAGGTGTCTACAGATCATTTTCCCTGTAGTACCTAGTTCGTGTTACTCAGACTAGGTCACCTTGACCGAGGGTGGCTGCTTTGCCTCGAGCACCCAGGCTTGATTAGTAATTCATAAACAGCGTAAGCTGTAGCCGAACCCTGGCTGTACTCAATGGTCACTCTTTCGGCACCTTAAATCAAGCTCCCTCCTTGGCTTGATACGTCTGCAGGAGTTGCGTTTGGGCAGTGCTTCGGTTCATGGCATTGCGTTGAGGAGGGAAGGGCATTTGAACTCGAACCGAGAACTGAATGCCTCCTTGCTCACAGAATCTGAATGTGACTACTAGGATCTTTCTATGCTGTGATCTATACAATGAACGCAGTGTATGTACCGTTTGAAAAAGAGAGAGGCAGTTAAGGCAGGCCGTATCAGATTTCTATGCTGGCAGGCAGAGTTTGGCTTAATGACTGTTATGTCAATATAAAACTATTGCACTACTGTGCACGTAGCTGAGGTCTTCATCTTACAAGAAATACCGGTGTTAGACTTAGCTCAATGAGGGTCTTAATTTCCTGAATGCTGACTATTTATACTCAGTATAGGATTTCTTTAATAATCATCAAGCCAAATTCTCATCAGTCAAAGAAATCCTATCTTTGGGTTCTTAGGTCTGGTGTAAAGGATAAAGGGGGTGGGATGAACTTAAAGAGTATTTAGCCACAAATTTC